ATGGATCTCATTGGACTTGGGTCAACATTGTTCTGAAAATAAAAGGAGCCAGTGTCAGCCTGTTTTAATGGTCTACTCCATCATAGTGAAAGCTGTGCTTCCAGGCTGCATTCACTGTGCATGACTTTATATCCTGGAAGGGTATTATTTGGTAAATCCAGGATTTACTCACAATCTCATCTCTGCATTGTCTCTTTTCTCACTGGGATCTCCTTTGTTGTCTTTTGTATTTATATTACAGTGTTTACTGGGGTCTTTTCCATCTTGGGCATTCCTTCAATTACAAATACATCATATTAGAACTCTCTCCATCTAGTCTCTTACTTTCAAATTTGACCTGTTGCAAGTTTGACAACCAGTTTGTATAAAACAGTTTTTGTTACACAGGCAAAGTTTCCACCTGAATTCTATGTAAATGGATAATAAAGACTACCTAGAAGTTCTCTCCTCATAGGAATATTTGTCTCAAACAGGAATCTCTTTTTTCTTCCTGAAAATGGAGTTTGTGTCTAATGGTAGGACTTTTTAGACACAATTATACTTAAAGTGGCTGATATTTCTTTAAATCAAGTTATTTGTCAGTACTGTGAGGGAATATCTATCTTGACTGGTGTGATATTGTATGAATGTTCTTCTTGAAACAGAAACCTAGGACCTTAAATTATGCTACTTAGCAACACTGGCAAAAAAAAAAAACAATTATAGAATTTAGATAGTAAGTCTATTTGTAAATTTTTAACTTGATATATCCCTAGGAAGTTCATAAGCAAATATGGTTTTACAATCAATCAGATTTGGTTCTGGAACTGTCTGTAATTGCTACAGACACCACTCTAATACTAACTTGTTCATTGGTATCCAGGGCATTCTGTCTTTATAATGGAGTTTATCTAATCAGAAATAATAGGGTAAAACTGTTTCTTGATTGTATCTGATGTGATCAATGACTTCATGTTGGGCCTAGATGTTTCTACATCATCTTCCTTTTATTGAATGTTATTCTTCGAGAGAATAACTACTCAACCCCTACTTGAAGGTCAAATATATTATCCTTAATCACTATGTTTGGGAACAGTGTGCCCTATGCCAACTGGAAATGACTCTATACCCCATTTCTTAAGACTCACTCCACTGGTTCATGATCATGGTCCATGGTTGAAAGTAACAACTTGGGGACACTGTTGAGGTCAAACACTACTTTTGACACTCTTTCTTGCTGGAATATTGTTAGTTGAATCCTGAATTAATTCTTTCTGAGATGGAATAAACAAGTTGACGGTGTTTGCTTACACAGAGGAAGATGTTCCAAAATTCAAGTCAGTACAAACAAAATGAATGTGTACTTTGGAGATGAAGCTGCACAAATACCATGTAGTTTTCCTTATGTTATCAGCAAAGACACAGACTCTTTGGTCCTGGATTCTATCTTCAAAGACATTTGAATAATTTGCTTTAGAAATTAGGGTTCGTGTCTCACTCCAGAAAAAGCAGATTGCATATTGCCTTGAAGCTAAAGATAATGTTTTCTCCAGGGCAAAGGGCACTCAGTGTTTGCTGTCTAGGACAATAAAGATATTGTCTCGGTCTGGAGCTCATAGTTGACTTGCTTAATGTCCTTTATAAAATATTTGGCTTCCTGAAGCTAAGGATGCTGCTAAGTTGCAAGCCATGATGTGTGGCAGAATATTATGCCTTTCTTTGTTTTCTCTGCGAACACTAAGACTTAGGTATCTTGCATAGGAAATAGTTACTATCAGTTTCTCTGCTCTTGTGGAAAATCTTTTCAACACGACTTATGTTATTTTAAATTATGTGTTTTTGTGAAAGGAGGTACACAGGAGTGTAGGTGCCTACTAGGGCCACAAAGCATTTGCTCTATTGCAGTGAGAGTGATGAGTCGTTTTGAGCAACCTGACATGGGTTCTGATAAGTGAACTTGAGTCCTTTGAAAGTGAGATATAAGCAGATATAAAAGTGTGCTGTCACACACTTTTAATCAAAATACTGGGAAGGCAGCAGCAGGAGGATCTCTGAGTTGAGGGCAGTCTGGTTTATGGAATTAGTACCAGGACAGCCAGGGCTTCACAGAGAAAGCCTGTTCTGAAAAAGAAAAGGAAAAGGGAAAACACAAGCTGAGCCACATCCCCAGCCCTAAGTGTTTTCTGTGACTCAGAATGGCGTTACTTCTTCTAGACTTTGTGGAGTCACAGAATATAAACTTGGTTGCTTCTATCCTGGGGTAAACTCACAGCTCCTTCACAGTTCTTGTTATCTTTTCCTGGAACCTCCATGGAGGCTCATCAAGGAGTTTCTGTTTTTAATATTCCTTATTAATGCAGGGTGGTGGTGGTGCATGCTTTTAATTCCAGCCCTTGGGAGGCAGAGGCAGGTAGTTCTCTGTTAGTTCTAGGACTGCCTCCAAAGCCACAGAGAAACCCTCTCTCAAAAAACAAAAAAATATTCCTTATTATTATTATTTTATTGTTATTATTATTTCTTGCTCATTATAGATATGATGTGAGAGACCATCCCTCCTTGAACATAAAAATAGGACTGAAGTTAAGTCTTATATGTCTAAATTAAAATGTTTAGCAGAAATTTGGGCAGGTATTATTTTGTCATATCCACTCCTTGTGTGCTTTTGCATATATAACCTTGCTTATGATAAAAGTAAACACAAACTTCTACTTAATTTCAAACAGTGATAGGCAAGGATTTTAACAGATAAAATGTAGAAATAGAGGTAAGAACCTAGTCTCCCCCAAATCACCAGAGGTTAGCAAGTTACCTTATGGCTTAGGTTGGCACACATCTTGGATTGCAGATAAAAATGATTTCAAATCATGAGGGAAAACACTTTTGTCATTGCATGTTTTACTCTTGGCTAGCTACAACACCATATGCAAATGTTGTAAAGTATATTTTTGGATCTTAAATGTGTCATGCTCATGGACAACAGGAATTAGCACTTTCTGGATCAATCCTAAATATAGGATTAGTTTTAACCATCTCTTACATTCTTCAGGGAAATTTTCCTTAACATGACAACAATTTAAACTCCCTTCTCATTTTTCTTAAGAGTCCCTACACTCTTCTCTTTGAATGCCAATAACTTATTTTGTGTTGTCTCCCTTCAGTTAGTCCTTAGAATCAGCCATATTGTGTACTTTGTACCAAACATCCTCCATATGTCAAAGGTTTGAGAGAAATGCTGTCCATGCAACACTCCCACTTCACAGTCTTGTACAGATGTTTCCAGATGTGTTCTCATGCTGAGACACGAAATGACAGATCCTTTCATTTTGAAAATGAGACTCTGTACCTGCATC